GGAAAGAGTGGGTGTGCATCATAGAAGGTGTCCACGGAAATGAACCCAGATGCCCAAAGCAAGTGAATAAAGCTTGCTTGACAGAAGAAAGAAACTCTCCTCTCCCCCTCTCCATATTATATCCACTGGGACCTAGGGGAGAATTTCTTTCCACCCTGAAATACAGAATTTCCAACCCTCGTTCTGAGCAAATGCTATCTTGTAAACATGCCCAAGGGAAGCTTTTATTGGATTGTGTGGCCACACCATCCAGCATTCTGTTTCTTTTTCTGAAGGCAATGGAAATAGCCCCAAGAAATAAAAGAATCCCTTTCTGACCCCTCTGGGCTATGGACTGATCCATGATCATACTGTTTCCACACTTCCTGAACCATAATCCCATTGCAGATGTCATCAGTTCTGTCCAAATTTTGCAGTGACCAATCTTGCTGCAGCTATCTTATTTCCCAGTCGCTACCCATGCTGTTTTTCCATTTGTCCAAACAGAATCATTACTGGACTACACATCACGGTTCTCTTCAGTGTCTCACTAATTACATTACATTACAGATATTTTGCAAAAATGGTTTCACAGCTGGACAGCGCAACCATATAGGAATAACAGAACTGTTTGCTTGTAAGCAGCGCCAATATTGGTTGTTGCCAGAATCAAGTTAACAGACATCTCATCCCCATTTGAACGTGGCTGGTCTGGTCTCGCTGATGGTTCTGGCTGGGGTGCAGGTGGTGGAACCTCCTAGTGGTCCCTAGCCTAGCGGTCAGTGACAGAGGCCTGAATGACCTTTCTCTCATTATTGCAGCTACAGGGCATTAGGAGCAGGGATCTTTTGGTCAGTGTGAATAAATTCATTTTTTCTTTGGAGGTTTGAAATGAGCAAAACCTTCACTCTGAGTTTTAAAAGCTTTTTTTTCTCTCTGGGCAGAGAACAGGTAGGAAAGAGGAAGCCAGTCAATGGCTTTCCAGGTTCACTCAGCTACCTCTTTAGAAATGCTAATACATCTAGCTAGAGACATAGATCTAGCTAGTCTCTCCCCCCCCCCTTCAAACAGGGAATAGAGATTTGGAGGAATTGAAGACTAGAGAGACTTCAGGAAGGAACTTCTAGAGATCTCCAGAAAAAGCCTCTTTGACCTGGCCTTACCTGGGCAGTGGGTGGGGAAAAAAGAGGTGATAAAACTCGGGAACAAGGAAAAAGCCCCCTTTAGTGTGGAGTCCATCAGAGCAGGCAGAACTCTTAACTGAGGTCTGGAGAAGGCAGGCATTTTAACCTTGTGTTGTCCTGAGGAGCTGAAGGAAGCTTCAAGGTAATGATAACTCTGTAGATATTTGTAACTTCCTAAGCTAAAGGAGCCTGTCCTATATTTTAACATCTGATAGGGCATGTATAGTGAGAGGGACAGAGAAATTGTGTTTTTCCCATTTCTTTTGAATCCCTTGCTCAGTCTGGTGCTGTGCCAAAAGTCTTCTTGTGAATATTTTCTTTTTAATCAATACTTTATAACTTTTGATGCTGGCAGTGGTTCTCTGTACCACATAAACCTCCACCCTCTCAGACACACTATTTTAAAAGGAGTGCCGGGGGAAGGCAGTCAGTTGGCAAGTGCCTATTCCTCCAAGGAAGCATAAAACAGTAAACTGTCCCCATGGTGACCAGGCACTGGGCCTGGCCTCAGAACATGGAAGGGAAGCTGGGAGTCCTGGCCCTCCCATCGGGCAATTCCTACAAAAGTCCGGTGGTGGTGGCAGGTTACCAGAGAGAGAAAAAAGCCTCTCCAGGTGTTGCGAAAACCTTGGAGGCAGGATGGAACAGGGCCCGCAGGCCCATTCCGCCACAGTCAGGAGGCTAGCTTCCTGTAGCTGCTCGTTCTCTGGTCAACATCCGAGGCAAGGCTAATCATCCTGGGAGGGAGGGAGGGATTGCAGCTTTTTTGTGGTCCTTGGTCCTCAGGCTGGCAGCAAAGAGAGGCTGATGCATGCTTGCCCTCAGTGCTGTAGAGGAGGTTTGTTTGATCATAAACATGTTTCAGTGAGACAGCTGAGAACCCGCTGTCTTCTCTTTTTCTGGGAGAACATTGTATTTCGGTAATCTTTCCAGTCATTTGCAGAAGTTCCTTTAGGAAAAGCTGTGTCCTGCTTTACATTTACATTTCTAAATAGCTGCTGTTCCTCAAGGAGGGATCACGGCGGAGAAATTGTTTACGATGATGATGGACAGGAGCATCAAGCTAATGGTCATGGATGCCCGAAGCCTGAAGGATTATCAGGAGTCATGCATTATCAACTCCATCAGCGTTCCAGAAGAGGCTATCAGTCCTGGGTATGGAATGAACTTTTCCTAGCAGAAAGACTCATTGGATGTTTGCCATTTGTCCAGAGCAGAACAGGGAAGAAGTGAACGCTGCAGGCATCTGTTTGCCCGGCTGCAATAAAAAGAGCGAAGGCGCACACACTTTTTTCCCTTTGGTAGGAACATTTAATAGGACTGTGGAACTTTTGGCCATGGGCTGTGGTGGTGCTCAATTAGTATAAATGGATTTCCAAAAAAGGACCAAACAAACCTATGGGTAATATTCTTATGAAGAGCATGGCGTCAAAGCTGAGGCTTCACCTTAGAATCTTAGAGGGTTGGGAGAATACAGTGAGGAAAGAAATATACCCCCTGCGGAATGATCCTGATTTAATGGGTTACAATATGGTAGTGACCATAGGTAGGAATATTCCTATCAGTATCTATTTTATTTCACTTCATTTATATCCGGGTTTCTCTCCAAAGCACTGTATGTCATTCTCCTCTCCTCCGTTTATCCTTACAACAATAACCCTGTGAGGCAGACAGGGCTAAATGTGCAATTGGCGCAAGGCCCCCCAACAAGCTTCCATGGCACGAGTGGGGATTCAGACCTGCGTCTCCCAGATCCTGGTCCAGCACTCTAACCACTGCACTGTGCTTGCCCTCAGTGTGTGATATGAGGGCTCCACGTGAGCCGGGAATGGAAGCATCAAGTAATTCTGGGAGCATCAATGAGTTTGGGGGGGGGAGCATTCCCAGGGGGTGAAGGAAAGCATTCATTGGTGTGGGGGTGGCTGGCTCCCTCTCCCTTCATTCCGTCCACTGCTACCACACTGGGTCTCTTTAATAAGGGGCCAGTTTTGGCTGAACCTTATGGGTGTGAGCAAGGCAGTAGGTAGGCTGATCTTCCCAGCATGGAGTTAAAATGCATGCCAGAATACATGCTTGTAGTCTTGGGCCTTCTTGTCAGGCGCGCGCACCATTCGTATGAGAAGGCATGTGGGTGCTAGTAGCGAACTAACCTTAGAAACCATGCTTTCCTATTGCTGTGGCATAATCAAGGTGCATAGTCAGCCCTCCAGATTTGGGCCAGTTTATGTTGTTGCATGACAGTCTAGATTGCAAGGTGGAGGTAGCTGCTCATGCCCCACCCTTCCACCTCATAAGTGACAAATTGTTTCTCCGAGTTGAAATATTTTCCTGCGTTCTTTTGTTATATGCTTGTTTCAGTGTCACCGCTAAGTGGATTGAAACTAAACTCCCAGATGCTTCTAAAGAGTCTTGGAAAGAGAGGGGGCAAGTCAATTATATTGTTCTGCTTGACTGGTTTAGTTCTGTGAAAGACCTACAGTTAGGAACACCCCTGTGGAGCCTCAAAGATGCACTTTTCAAGGTGAGCAGATCCAGGCTTATAATTACCTTGGATCAATGAGAAGCTCAGAGGTCATTATTTTTATAAAGCTTGTCAACAAACTGAAGCTTTTGTTTAGTTTATTGTTTCAAAGCCTATTAATTGAGTGTATATAAATTTCCATATGAGATATGGGCCTCACGCAGACATGGTTAAGTGTTTCGCCCAAATGTTCAAACTGTGGTTTAAGATTGGCCACACACTAGGAGGTGAAAATAGGTTGAAGTGGGTTTGTGCTAACCGTGGGTAAGCACTACATATGTATTGGGCCATCGGCAGTTTTCAACGTAAAGCCTGGTTTTGCTGTACACTGGATCTTAAGCCAAAGTTAAGACAACAAGCTGCGGCTAAATAGCTTCATTGGGCCTTTGAACGGAAGGGCCGTGGCAGTGTAGCATCATCAGCCTCCACACTGATTGTTCCAGTGCAGTTTCAGAAAGTCATTAAACAGCATTGCGGAATGGAATGACCATGGCTTTTTAATATGTGTGTGTGTGTGTGTGGTGGCAATTGTAGACTCCAAAAAGGCAGGCAGGAAAAAAAGCTTCACTTCCTCTTTCAGTCCTTAATGGCTTCCATTCAAATGCCATGTTGTGATCTTTCTGATGCTGAAACAGGCTTCTTGCATTTAGAATAAGGTGTTCCAGAGTGTATGTACTATAAACAGTGTTACACACAAATTTGTTGTACAGTGTTAAATCCCACAACCTTGTTCTGGGTCCTGTGCCACATTTTATATAATCATGTGACTTGACTGAGTTGTGATTTGGGATATTTTTGGGGGGTTTTTTTGTTGTTAAAATACTCCATCCTTCACTTTCAGTGGGAAAGTAAAGCTGTACTGCAGAATGAGCCCTTGGTCTTAGAAGGAGGGTATGAAAACTGGCTTCTCTGCTATCCCCAATACACAACAAATGCAAAAGTAACTCCACCCCAACGCAGCAAGAATGAAGCAGTGTCTATCTCTTGTGAGTATGAAAAACACCTTACTCACTTTGGGGGGGGGGGAGTCTTTCTAGTACTTCAGTCCTTCTTTGGGAGCAACTCCTATGGAAAGCAGTGGGATCTGCTTCCAAAGATCAGGCTGTAGAGATTCTCTTCCTAAACATGCTTATTTTAATCATTTTAAATCTTAAACACTTTTTTTCCTACCAGAAAAAGACCTAGGTGATCTGCAACCATCAGAATACACCAATGTGCTAAAAATCAATACCCAGCATCTTCCTCACTGTGCCATCAAGTCTATGCCTTCCTCAGTCAATGCCATCAAAAGTTTGCTTTTAAAAGGGACTTCGAAAATATAGCTTGAGAAACAAACCCAACCTTTCTCTCCCTACCCACCACCATTTGCCTTCCCATTTGCAAAGTCTCATTCTGGGTGATACATTGTCCAAGTCTGGATTGCCTTCGGATATTGCTCCTGAGTATAGAGTTAGGGAGGGAAATAAAGGCACCATGTGACCAGCTAGAAGTTGCATTTTTCTCTATCCTAGCTGGTTTTATATCTTTTCTGACTGCTCCTCCCCCACTGCAAAAAGATGTCCTAACATTCTCTGAACCTTTGGAGGAGTGCAGAATGCAAACTGAAATATGTATAAACTAGGAAAAAGGCCCGTTGTGGAAATAAATACAATGGCCTCTAGAAAGAGGCTCTGGGCGGGTGCCCCGGCCTTGGACACTCAGTATCAATTTGCTGTGGCGACCTCAGCAGGGTATAATGACACTGAGTCCACCATTTTCTCCACAGGAACTGATCTCTGCTACTTAAAGAACAGTTGTAATTTTGAGTGATCTCACCTGGAGATTGGCAATGATGGTTCCCCAGAAGGTTGGTTTGGAGGGTGGAGTCTATGGCTTTGTACCTGTACGAGGTCCCACGCCTCTTGAAACCTCACCCTCTCCAGGCTCCATCCCTCACATCTCCAGAAATTTCCCACCTGGAGTTGGCAACCCTATCTCCTTCCCAGCCCATCATTAACCTACCTTTATTTCCCCCTCACTCTTCAGATTTCCACTCCCCACACACCTGCAGCCTCTCCCGTGCTCTGAAGCCCTGACTGCTACGTCACATTGGCTGTCATATGGGGGCCAACTCAGCAGCATATAAGGATACAGAGCCCACCATTTTCTCCAGGGGAACTGATCTCTGCCATCTGGAAAGCAGTTATAATTCTGAGTGATCTCCAGCCCTCACCTGGAGATTGGACACTTTACCTCAGAAGAGCAAACTGTTTAGAATGTTAGAGGCAAAAGCCAATCAAGTCGCATATGCAAATGACCTCTGTGTTCCGAGGCAAAGGCCAATGAGGCTGCATATGCAAATAACCTCAGTGTTCTGACTGGCTGTGGGGGGGAGAGGAAGAGCAAACTGTTTAGAATGTTGGAGGCAGGACTCAGGCAAAGCAGCCAGTGGATAGGGAGACCCTCAATGACAGATCAGAGAGCGAACTGATTTTGGAGCGTGTGGAAAGTTCTAGAGAAGTGCCACCACCATTCAGCTTTTATTTATAAGGGAGATAGCTCAAAAACCCCTCCATATTCTATGTCAGTTATTTTCTGGTTCATAAAGTAGTTGATGTAGTTTGTTTGTGATAGTGGTAACTTTGGTTATTTCATTTACTTCTGGCCGTTTGGTTCTGTAGACTGTGTAGGTGGGGAAGGCAGCATGGTGTAGCTTGCTCTTGGTCAGTTTTCAGAAACTAAGCAGGGTTGGTACTTGGATGGGAAACCGTAAGTCAGTTTCAACTTGATTGCCCTTACATACCTAGTCTGCATGTAGTATCATTACTTCAGTAGCTCTTTGCATTGCAAAGATTTGTCCCTCCTCCCCCTTTTAAAAAGCACCTTCTTTTTGTGTTTTTTCAGTGGATTTTACTTACCCATCCTTGGAAGAGCCAGCTCCACCTGTGGTACCAGTTGTCCGTGTAAAAACTTCCATCACGGAAATGCCTGAAAGACCTGAAATGGCAAATGACAAGGAAGGAAGAGGAGAGACACTGAAACCAGCAACTCCCACTGGATCAGTTGCTGTTGCTCCTAAGTCTGAAGGCACATCTTCTGTACCCCAGCCAGCATCTTCTGTGAAGATTATTCCTCAGGTGAGCTGTATAGCACTTCCCAGTCCTCTTAATAAGAGGAAAGTGAGAAAGGAAGGGCTAGAGGTTTGTTCACACAGGTTGTTCACATACTACAAGGTGCTTCTCGCCTTTTTTACTGGGACAGCTGCCTACCTACACCAAATCACAAACTTGGGATCTCCTTTGTGGGAGGAGAACTGCTGTTCCGTGAAACAGAGCAGCCTCACCAAGGGTCTGTTCCCATCCCCACCCCTTGGGAGTTTGCCTGAAAGGAATGAAGCCTTCCCCCCCCCAGACATGAATGATCTCGAGTGGTCTCTCCTGACCCTGAGAGACTGATAAAATTAACACTTATGTAGCGTTTCGAAGTGTTCAGTAGCTTGAATAACCTGGGTTTGTCAGAGCTTGTAAGCTAAACATGACCAGCCATGCTCAGTACTCTGATGGGAGACCACCAAGGAAGACTTTGGAAGGCAATGGCAAATCACCTCTGCTCTCCTCTTGCTGTGGGTGGGGTCACCATGAGTCTGTTGCAAGTCAATGGTACTTTCTTCTTCAGAATGTTCAAATTGTTTCACTTATCTTGGTACAGTCCTTACAACAGCCCTGTAAGGCAGATCAGTATCAGGCCCATAGCTACAGTGGGGCATTTTGGGACCCTGCCCCTTAATTAAAAGCCCCGACCCACAAATAGCCGTGTGTGCGTAAAAAGCTTATTTTTAAGGAGAGACCCCTGCAAGCAGCGGCCAGGGTGAGAGCACCATTTCTTGCCGTCCGGCTTCCCTCTCCCTCCCACTTTGGAATTGGGGGGGGGGGGCATCATGGGACCTTGGAAAAGATCGCTCATAAGGCACTTAAATGCCTTTTGAGTCCCTTTCCACAGGGCAAAAAAGCTTAGAAGGGCACTCAAGTGTGGCACCTCCAGTACATCTCTCATGGGAATGCTTTTGAAAGGCTCACCATGACCTAGGTGGTATACAGCAGGACTGGGCAGGCAGAAAGGGGGATTGTGGGAGATGTATTATCTCCAGGTGGCAGGTGTGAAGAGCTGCGAGAGTGGTGTGCCTGAGGCCTCCTAGTGAGTCCATGGCAGAGGTGGAGTTCAGACCCGGCACGTCCTGATTCACAGTGCAGTCTCGTAACCGCTGTGCTGTGCTGTGCTAGGCTGAGGGTGCATTCTCACAGGGTCAGGTGGGGCCTTGTATTCAACCTGATCTCTCTCCCAGCACAGTCGTGGATATGGGAAGACCGCTGATACCATCCAAACAGAGAGTGTGAATGCGTGCAGTCAGCTGTACGTGCCTAAATAAGCTGTTTGGCCATAGGAAGCTATAGATGTACAGAAACCTTTCATCTAAAGAAAGAAGGGCTAGCAAAGCCTAGTATTTTTTTAATAGTTTCGTCTTTTTAAAAAAAGTTTTTAACATTACTCCAGATTGATCGTACAAAAAAGCCTTCAGCAAAAATTCCAGATGATGCTAATGGGTCAAAAGCTGAGAGCCCAGCCACTGGCAAGCAGATTGTTTCAGATGGAAGAGTCGTTCCAGATCGTTCCACGAAACCCCCATTAGATACAAAACCCAGCCTGGCAGAGGAAGAGAAAAGCCACGGGCTGACAGAAAAGGAGAAAAGGCAGCAAGGAAAGGAGCTGCAGGAGAAAAACAAGGAAGAACAGAGAGAGCGGCTCAGACAGGAGAAGCAGGACCAAGGGCAGAAAGCCAGAGAAGAGCAGGAGGAAACGGAAAGCAAGGGAAATCTCCAGAAGGCAAAAGAAGAAACAGAGAGGGGAGAAGGAGAGCCCCAGGCTAGCAAAGAGGTGGATGAAAAGCAGGAGCTAGAGAAGAAAGCCCACACAGAGCTAAAAGAAATTAAAAAACCAAGCCAGACTGGAAGCGAAACCCCCGAAGGGAGGAAAAAACTAGATGCTGGGAGCAACTTTGTCAATGAAAAAGAAAAAGTTACCCGGACACCAGAAGCACAAAGGCGGAGATTTGCAGAGGAGTCGCGGGCAGCTGTGAGGGGGGATTTGGTCTCAAGCAAGGTGAGCAGCTCAGCTGGTTCCAAAAGCAAAGCAGAGAGTCTCCCTTTGCCAAGTGCTTTTATTTTCAGGCTGGGCTCTGAAACGTAGCATTGCTCCTAAGGGCAGAGAGCACCATTTTAACTAAGTGGTGTTTCAGCTGTAGCCCTACCACGAGGCAGGGCCAAGCCTGTGCCTCAGGGAGGTGATGGGCAAGGGAGAATTTGCAAAGTGAACAGAAAGGAAGGAAGGAAGGAAGGTAGTACAAATTCACCCTTTCTGTGAGAGGACTGGGCCTCCCTCTCCCCAGTCCTCTCTGAAACACCATGAAGGGCGGGGGGGGGGGGTCTAAACACAATAGGTCTGGCCAAACCAGGGGCCGGGGGAAGCGGCAACAGAAGCCAGTTCGAGCCCAGCTGCAACCTGTGTTGGGAAAGCTCAGGGAGGCTGTACCTCCCATTCTTCTTATGTTCTTAGACTGGATGTAGTGATAGCTGAAGCATAGATGGCTTTAGAATGGGATTTAGGTAAATAGGTCCAACAGTGGCTATTAGCCACAATGAATAAAGGGGCAGTAACATTAATACCAAGGCTAGGAGGAAACATCAAAGGAGGCCTCTGTATTCTGTTGACCTCCATGGCAACTGGTTGGCCATTGTATGAAACACACATGAACACACATGACGGTGCCTTATACTGAATCAGACCATTGGCCCATCAAGGTCAGTCTTGTGAACTCTGACTGGCAGTGGGTCTCCAGGGTCTCGGGTCTTTCCCATCACCTACTCCCTGATCTTTTTAAAACATGGAGATGGCAGGGATTGAACCTGGGCCCTTGCATGCAAAGGGAGGCTCTTCCACTGAGCCAGCACCTCTCCCCTTATAAGATGCTGGACTAGATGGACTACTGGTCTGCACTAGCAGGTTACCAGGCAATAAAAATGTTTTACTTGCATGTGTTCTCTGCGTATGTCCATGCTGAATGTAACAAAGCCTTAGTCTTTGTCTGGGAAAGTATTCATCTGGTGTTTAAATTAAAAGTTTAAAATGAGCAGAAGTTAAAAAATATATAACTGTAAGTGTATTAAAAGACCATTATCCAGAATCTGTAAAACAATAACCAAGTGACTCTGGCCATGGGCAGGGGACGCTGCTCCCCCTCCACAGACCAAGTTAATAGCCATAGTCCTGTTTCCAAACCTTTCTGATAAAGTTAAAGAACAGGTCCTCCCACACCACTGGCATGTATTTGAGGCATATTATATCCTCAGCACTTAATTAAGGCCTCTGAGTGCATGCAGAAAAACTTTATCATGTCACAGGGTGAGCATAACATTGACTTGACAGCAATTTCATTAAAAATATTTCTCAATGGAGCTATCAAAAATGTTGTTTTGGGTGGGTCTGCATTCTCTTTAGTAATGAAAATGTTTTCTCACTATTTTTTAAAATTCAGAGTAGTCTTTTTTAAATACGAAGCATTAACACCAGCATGGATCACTCTTTCTGAATCTTTCTAAATTTATATACGAAAATTCAAAGTTTCCCTTTTAAAATCTGTTTTTTGCAGCAGACTGGGCTTAAAGGACATCCAGAAACAGAATCTCAAAAGCCAGGAACCAGTAGAGAGGATACTGAACAAGATTCTGAAAAAAATAAAGTAAATGCATTGTGCCTAGCTCAAGAAATGTAGAGCAGTTGCCATAACATCAGCTCATTTTATATCTGTTGTCATGTAACAACTTCCTCTTTAAGAGGAATTCATAACCATTTGTGTTATTTTTCATAAATACCCGTGTTTGCCAACAAAAAGCAGATTCAGGGGATCGCTCATGTGGAATGTTGGTTACCTTGCTGCTCCTTTGTTCAAAAATTTTTTAGAACTCTTGAGTTCTTCAGCATGAAGTGTCTTTTTTGTTGGTCTGGATTCTCTTCAGGATACTAAAAGTTAGTGCAGTGAGTTGTCTGGTTTCATTGTTTTATGTATCCAGGAGGCTGGTAATACTTTAGCATTTTATGCAGTGCCCTCAGGTGTTTACAGGGTATAATATTGTTGTCCTGATAAGAACCCTGTAAGGTAGGCCAGCATTAAGGCATAGAGAGAGAAAGTTTCCTGGGTGAGGCAACTTGTTGAGTCCTGAGTAGAGATGTGATTTGAACAAGAGACTTTCCCAGACCGTAGCTCATCCTCTCAGCCACTGAACTTTCCAACTGAATGTTCTGACCTGTAGAGCTCATATCTTTCGAAATTCACCTCCACTACTCACCTGTCTTGCTTCAGTAGCCAGTCCTTGTTCAACAGCTGTTTGTGCCCACAGCTCAGTCAGACGACTTGCCTTCCAGATCCCCTCTCCCACTGTTGTCCATTTGCTGACTCTGTGGAAAAGTTCCCAGATAGAGTTTTGCATTTGCCGAAATCATTGTGCTGTCCGCCTTTTGTGTGCATCATCCCAAAGACAAGGAAAGTATGCAGCGTGTTGTGTTCTTGTATTTTCTTGTGTCTTAGTCCTCAACTTTTTTTTCCTAAGTCCCAGCGGGAGCCTTTAACAAGGGCACGGAGTGAGGAGATGGGCAGGATAGTACCAGGACTGCCTTCTGGTTGGGTAAAGGTAAGTGCAACTTCTAACATTCTAACGTTCATGTTGAGTGTCAGTTAAAGGAGATGGGAGGAAAATTAGCCAGCTCAAGCCCATAAGGGTTTATAGAGTCCTGAAGAATGAGTCTTTGGGATATGGGCATGGGATTTCCAAATCGCTCCTCACAAACTCCTGGCATGTCTTGGTGAGATAGTTGCTCTGTACCATCTTCTGAGATTTCACTGAACTCTTATTTCTTTTTCTGCATGTGTCCCTTGAAGTTCCTTGATCCAGTCACTGGGACCTTCCGTTACTATCATTCCCCAACCAACAGCGTCCACATGTATCCTCCAGAAATGACTCAGTCCGCCACACCTCCTTCTACACCGCCAACTCATAAACCAAAGCCTCAGGCTGTTGTTGACCAACGGGAGAGGGAACACTCCAAGCTGAAGCGCTCTTACTCTTCTCCAGACATCACGCAGGCCATTCAAGAGGAAGAGAGGAAGAAGATCGTTGTCACTCCTGCAGTCAATCGCGAGAATAAGTATGTCTGCTACACCTGCCCTGATAGTCTCTTCCTACTTTCAATATACTAACTTTCAATATGCCAAAGCTTAAAAGAGGACGTATTATATATCTCGTATATAAGATAAAAAATAACAGATCTTGTTCAAAATCCACTTCCTCATATGTTTATATTCAAAACTCATTCTCATTCTATTTCAGCAGTATAACACATTTATATGCATAGCAATACATTTATATACATTTTAAAACTATTTCTCATTCTTAATTTGTCTCCTGCTTGCATAATAAACACTCCATCTCTCCTCAGATTTTGAAATTGATCTGTTTCTCAAATAGGTTACTAATTTTGCCATAGGCAGTAATTTCCCCATCCTTATAAGCTGGTCAGATGTCTGGTTTCCATTTTGCTGCATAGATTATTCTAGCCACTGTCACAATATTTCATCCAAAACTTTTGGTAATTTTTGGGCAATATTCCTAATAGCATGTTCTTAGCTTCCATAGGTAATTTAAATTTTAATATGTTCTGCATTTTCCCATGTATTTCCTTCCAGTATCTTTTTGCTTTTTTACAAGTCCACCACATATGGTAAAAGGTTCTATGTATAGCTTGACATTTCCAACATTTTCCTTTGTAATTTTTGTCTGCTTTCTCAATATCCTTGGGAGTTATATACCATTTGAAGAACATTTTAGACCAGTTTTCTCTTAACGCCTGGCTGGCTGTAAACTTAGTATCTTCAACGTGGTCTCTGTGCTTCACACCCATGGGATTCAGTGCCCCTGTGCTGGATTGATCGGTTTTGTAGCAAGCTCTAATGGATTTTCGCGCCCAGACTTCAGGCATGCGCAGGAACCCCAACCACGAACGTGCAGAGGGGTGGGCACCTTAGGGGTCTTTTTTTTGTCTTCTTCCTGTTAATTTAATATCCTGAAAAGGATCCAAATTTTTCAGTATGTTCCATTACATGCTGTAATGTTTTTTGGGCATCCAAGACTATTAAAACCACATCATCTACATAACTTTTCATTGTAAGTCTGTATCATCCACTTTTATTCCTTTGATCCTTGCATCATGTCTGATCTTTGTAGCTAAAATCTCTATCACTAAAACAAATAATAGAGGCATGTTCCTTTTTCAATCAAAATTGCTTCTGTTAGTTTTCCATTTATTAAAATCTTTGCTTGTTAGTTCAAATATAAACCTTGCATCCCATTCAAGAATTCCAAACCACAGTCCATATCAGCATTTTGCTTTTTAAGTTGGTTAAAATATTTTGTACGTTTCATAGAAGAGTTCATTCTGTTAATATTTACTGATACTATTTTTAGTTTATCCCTTTTGTCCCAATGTTGATGCCACAACTGTTTCATTTACTGAGATCTTAGATAAACTTTGCTTTGAGTTACTTAAAGATTTTCCTTCAGATCTTCTTCGTGGTCTCTGTGCTTCACACCAATGGGTTTAGTGCGCACGTGCTGACCCAACCAGTGCTGTAGCAAGCTATGTTTCAACGGATTTTCGCGCCGAGCCCCTCCAGGCATGCGCAGGAACCCCACTGCGCATGCCCAGAGGGACGGGCGCAGACATCCCGCCAGTTCTCTTTCTACCACCGCGTTGAAAGGACCCTTTTTGCCTTTCCTCCTGACCGGATAGTTGTAGCTGCCTTCGGGCCTTTATTTAATTTTTCTTTTCTTCGGATTCGTCCCCGTGTGACTTCTCTTTCGTTTTCTTTTTAAAAAAAAGAAGAAGAAGAAGGAAGGACTTTTATTTTCGTGAGGGAAATTTTCCTCAGGCCTTCGGGCCACCCCCCCCCTCTTTCTCGCCCTTTCTTCGGCATTTGCCTTTTCTTGCCATATGGAAAAGAAGAAGAAGAAGAATACAAAGTGGGGATTTTTTAACTGTCCTGGAAAAAGGTGTGCCGATACAGGACATCTGCAAAGCTGCTACATGGGCCACGCCTAATACATTCATCCAGCATTACGCCCTCGACGTCCGACGCACCAATGACAGCATCGGACGTCACGTTTTGTCTTCAGCCCAGCGATGAACATCCTGCCAGCACCCTCCTCCAGGTAGGATATGGCTCGCTAGGCTCCCATTGGTGTGAAGCACAGAGACCACGAAGAAGATAAACAGGTTGCTTACCAGTAACTGGTGATCTTCGAGTGGTCATCTGTGCATTCACACCACCCGCCCTCCTTCCCCTCTGCTGTCAGCTCCTATGTTTTTTTGATAGGTGTTGATTTGCGGCGGTGCTTTGAAGGAACTGGCGGGATGTCCACGCCCGTCCCTCTGGGCATGCGCAGTGGGGTTCCTGCGTATGCCTGGAGCGGCTCGGCGCGAAAATCTGTTGAAACATAGCTTGCTACAGCACCGGTTGGGTCAGCGCGTGCGCACTAAACCCATTGGTGTGAATGCACAGATGACCACTCGAAGATCACCAGTTACTGGTAAGCAACCTGTTTTTCCTCTATATTGGTCCTCCGCTTGTAGTTCTTCAGCTAATAGCTTGGCTTGTTCTTGATTACTTTCCTTCCTTGTGGTAAGTATACCTATATTCAGATGGTATTTTCCAGTGATATCTTATTTCTTTCCCTTATAGAATCTTTCACAGAAAGTTAAAATCTTTCCTTTTCCTTAGCACACTTGGTGGTAGATCTGAAAGACCTGCACTTCTTTTTCTGCTACTTTAAGTGGAGATTCTCTTTAATATTACATCTCGTGTTTTCTTATGAGTAAGAAAACCAGTATACCTCAAGGTAGCTTACTCTTGAATGCAAAATTTGAATTCACTGAATATCTGGTCAATATTGGGAAAACTCCCAGTGTCTTCAAATAATCCTGAAGCAGTTCCTGAAATCTCTCTTCCAGATTTAGCCTCCCAAAATCTTCTGGTATGCCTCTAAAACGCAGGTTGTTAGCTCTACATTGGGTTTCCAAAATTTCAATTCTTTGTTCTGCTGTCTCAATCCAGGAGTCTTGTTTTTTAAATATATATCATTTTCTTTTTACTTGCAATTTCTTTGTGTTTGGTCTCATAATTTTGCGTTAATCTATGACGGTCCAGCCGATAGTTCTTGGCATGCTTCTTGAATGTTCTTCCATGTTCTTCCCTCAGATATTTGAATATTCTTCTGAATACTCTGGATTTTCTTCTGAGTTCTTTTCTCAGATTTTTGGATATTTTTCTGAATACTCTGAATGTTCTTCTGAGTTCTCTCCTCAAATGGTTGCATCTGATTCACCAATATTTACAATAACTTTTCCACCAATTCTTAGTTTTTTTCTTCATCAGTTTATTCTACTTTCCTTTTGTCTTTTTGACATGTTCCAGCTGCCATTATTCTTTTCGCCCTTCTGTTTCTAAAAATGCTATACAAATTTTCCATACACTGTTTCCATATACTTTTTTCTATGCATATATGAGAGTTTACAACTGTCATATTTTGTATTGTTAAAATAACCAAACTATAATGAATATATGCTGTAGTAGGAAGTTGTTATAAAAGAAGATATTATCTTAAATCTCTCTATAAAAGATTATTCGTTGTGTATAATAAACATTCTAAATATGAGTAAAAGAGAGTAAAAAGTAAAGAGTGAAGCTCATTTTCTAATCATCGTTTCATAGTCATAATTATATTCCCCTTCCTCCTTCTCCTTTATAATTCATTTTTTGGTAGAAAACCTGCAGGGATGGACCATATAAATGGAATAAGTGGCTTTAAAAAACAAACAACCCACCAAGAATGAAGACGACACCTGTTTAATCATTGCCTCTTTCTTACAGACCCTCAAGCTATACAAAAGCTGAGATATCAAGGCTTTCTGCTTCTCAGATTCGTAATCTCAACCCTGTTTTTGGAGGACAGGGACCAGCCCTCACAGGCCTTCGGAACTTAGGAAACACCTGCTACATGAACTCCGTCTTACAGTGTCTTTGCAACGCCCCACATCTGGCAGATTATTTCAACAGAAACTTCTATCAGGATGATATCAACAGGTAACAGGGCTCCTCCTGGTTGATGTCATTGCTTTCTTTAGTTTGCATTTGAGTGCAAAAATTATCACCTTTTTTCAAAAACGCTACAGCATTTTTAGTGAAACAGTCATTTTTTATCATAATGCTTTCTTTAGTGGCAATGACAGCAGGTCTCTGCAGGAAGTAAGTCTGAGGTGGCTTAACAGTGGAAGGTATTCAGTGCGTCACAAAAAAAACTTTGGGTCTTGCCACTGGGCTGCCATTTGTGGGGTACATAGCAAGCCAAGGGAATGTATTTATGGTCCTCTGACCTTCTTGGAACTTGTAGGAAATGAGCTACCAGCATTAATATTCTAAACAGCAAAAGGACTCTGCTGGTCAGCAGCTTTTGTCTACAGATGGTTTTAATTCTCCCTCACCACAGAGAGACGTGCTGTTGTTTCAGATCACCTAGGATGATGGAGCCTGACCGGGCTGGCCCAGGCTGGCCCATGCTAGTCAGGTCTCAGAAGCTAAACAGGAGGGCCAGCCTTGGTTAGTACTTGCAGAGGCAGGCGATGGCGAACCATCTATGTTCGCTTCTTGCCTTGAAAACCCTGTAGGGTCACCATAAGTCACCTGCGACTTGATGGCACTTTCCAGCACCACAGGGTGACTGAGGGGACCGGCCCTGGTGTAACTTTTTCTGTATGAGACTATTTAGGGAATTAATTTTTGGAAAGAGAACAGGATGGGAATTGTTCTGTTCTCTGGCACAATGTTTTCTAACTGCTTTCTTAGATAATTTCAAAAGCACTTCTGAGGCTCCAGGTGTCTTGATATGGAAAATGATCATGGTAATCTCCACTTAGATGAGTTAATGCCATAGATTTTCTACACCATGCTGTCCCTATCCTGCTCCACAGGTCCCTTAACAGAGTGGTCCTAAGCAATGCTCCCTCTAAACTATGGAGTCTTCTGAGCAAAAATTCTACTATGTGAGCTACTGGCATTAAAGTTGTGAGTGAGCGATTTGACTACTGCATAAATTAGTTTGCTCTGGAGCAGTGTTCCCTCTAAGCTGAGTTAGTGTGAGCTAGCTCACAGTTTTTTAGCCTCCAGCTCACACATTTTTGTCTCAGCTCAGGAAGGAGGGCTCCCGAGCAAACTAATTTATGCAGCAGCCAAATTGCTCGCTCACAATTTTAATGCCAGTAGCTCACAAAGCAGAATTTTTGCTCCCAGGACTCCACAGCTTAGAGGGAACATCTGGAGCCCTCCTTACTGAGCCGAGACAAAAATGTGTGAGTCAGGGGCTAAAAAACTATGAGCCAGCTCACACTAACTTAGCTTAGAGGGAACACTGGTCCTAAGCAAAGTGCCTTCTGTGCTTTCAAAGGACTCAGGAGGCTGTTAGCTGTGTTGTGCCCAGGAAAGACCCATTTGGAGATCTTTGTAAGCTGTAAACATATTACTGATAGCTGTATTTGCATAGACGGTGAAAGAATAAGCCTCAAAGTGACATCGCTCCAGTATAAACACCTTTTGTTTCAGATTTTTTTGTTTTGTTCTGCTTGGATGCTGGCCATTTAAATTCTTGTGTTTGCTTCAGGTCAAACCTCTTGGGTCACAAAGGTGAAGTGGCAGAGGAGTTTGGCATAATCATGAAGGCCTTCTGGACTGGGCAGTACAGATACATCAGTCCAAGAGATTTTAAAGTCACCATTGGGAAGATCAATGACCAGTTTGCAGGGTACAGTCAGCAAGACTCTCAAGAACTGCTCCTGTTCTTAATGGACGGTCTCCATGAAGACTTAAATAAAGTAAGTTATATTCTTGTCAACATTTCGCACATAATGTTTGGCAATGTAGTGTTATGAAACAGGAGTGCGAAATTTCACACTTTTTCTGTTCCCCCTTTCTCAGATGCTGGGTTTGCAAGTGATTTGCATAACTTGTACATCTGCTTGTTTAAAAGCTGTATTTAAAAAAATATATATTTTAAAACATTTCTATCTCCCCTTTCCACTATTAAGCTCTCGGGCAGTTTGGTACTTAAAAACAATGTAAAACAAAACATACAGTTATGAAAACAAAACCCAAACGTTTATGCATTTAATTTAGCCATTGTACTGTCACAAGCAAGGGGTGAAACAATTCCCACTGTTTCCCACCCCAGCCTTAGATTCTGCCTTTGCTCTAGGATAATATGTGAGTGAGGAGAGAACAGGGCAGAAAATAGCCCCATTTCTCAGTTCACAGTACAGAAAAATATTACTTTACGCAGTACTTTATTTAGCAAATTCTTTTTCATGAGACGTGAGATAGGCACTGGTCAAAAGGTAGAGAAAAATTCATTAAAAGCAGGGTCGCATTGAATAGAAATGGAATCTCCATATGCTAAGTAGGTGGAATTACACCTTGCTTGGTGCTGTATGAAAAGAAATGGATGCTACCTTGTGGGCCGCTTCCTCAGGGTATTGGAGTGGCTGCAGACAGACAGGTGGTGGGGTAGCCTTTTGGTTTAATGTAACAGCACAGTGTTCATATTCTTGAAAAGCAGTTGCACATCTAATCCAGGAACTGGGCACATAGCTACCAAATTCTCTTAAGGATGTCTACAGATAATCCTTGGCCCTCGTATGTTCCAATGGGCCACCTTTAAATTCAGGGCCATCGCATCAGGGATGCCTCCTGCTCCAGCTCCTTTGAACTTGATGGGTCGGGGGCTTTGTTTGGCTCATCTAATGTAGCTAACATGGAAATCATTTTTGCCTGGCCTCTTAAAGATCTGCTTTTCAGTCTCTTCTTCCCCCTCCTATTTTTACAAATACTCTGATGCCTCTTAGAGAGTAAGTAAACAAAAACTTAATTGTTTGTTCATCTTGTGTCTAGTGCATACAAATTTCAATGCGTCTGGCCATTTCACTGCTGCATGTCAGTTTTACCCAGAGGTTGGTTTCCAAAGCAGTGTGTCACAATTGGAAATGCAGATATAAGTAAAAAAGGAAGCAGTACTGAGTGAGGCTCCCGGGCCCAGGCATACTGGAAGAACACCGGGCTGCTTCCTGTTCTCTTCCTGGCTCCAGTGATGACCAGTGCCTTTGGAAGAGAGTTTCACCCAGCATCGGTAGAGTCTGGTATAAAGCATGATTTTGTGGAATTAATAAATCCCCATTTCTAAATAGCAGCTGTATACCACTGGATAGTAGAGGAGATAGCTTTGCTAATACAGGGGTTTAATTGGTGTGTAGGAGTGTTTCTGGTTTGCAGAACTTCCAAGTGGGGAGGTCCCTGCAGAAAATCTCTGAACAGCTCTCATTACTCTTCTTCACCTGCAGTGTTTGACACTGCTGTGTGTGAGATTTGACCC